ACTCCATTCTTATACCATGATATTTATGTGGTTCTTCGTGGAATAGTAGTCATTGTGCATGTTCAAGAAACATTGTGTTACCGTGGGTACCAAGTACTGTATAAAAAGCATTAAGACTTGCGAAGTTGATGCAATTAGGGAGGGAGGGAGGGAGGGGTAATTTAAAATATTTTCTACATTATAGAAAAGATTTGAATTAAATATACATTCCGTACAAACTATGACTCAGAATTCTATATTATAAATACCAAATTCCCACATAAAACAGATCTGTGTTTGGGGGCGTGTTTTACCTTTATTAAGTCACTCTTCTATCCAATCAGTGTTTAGATGGGCGGTGTTCAAGCGCTCAAGGCGCGCGCCCGGGCGCGGAGACCGTAACTCGGTCCGGAATTCAGCGCAGAGTGATGACAGTGCCAACGCAGTCACATTTAGACAAGGACTAACTCACTTTCAGCTCTGTCATTTAATCAACTGATCCAGTTTTACTTGCATACATAAACCCAGGCGCAAGTTCAGACCATGCGCTCTATGTGAACAGCTGCGCAAAGACGCACAGGCTGAAAGACATTTGACAGCTCGCCAACGGGACACTGGAGTGGACATGTGAAGAAATGGATATGCAGCCTCTTCATATGATCAAAATGCGATCTGACATCATCATCGTCCTCATCCTCACTGCTGTGATTGTTCCCCTGTGCACCTCGCAGTCAGGTGAGCGTCCAACTCGCGTGCGTAAAAGTGCTTATCCGTCCTTCAGTCTTGTTGGATAGTTTTGTGTTCTGGTATAGCATTTAATTTAATGTATGAAAACATGTCATGCATTCAACACTTTCTAACCCGTGAAGTCGCAGTGATCGTGTATTCTCACTCAGGCAGCGCAAATACTTCTGTGCCAAACTCCAAGTGGCCAAATTACATCCGTGCGCAATTCATGATGTAATTCAGTTTTATATGCGTGTTTAATGATATTTAGATGTCAAGATAATGTCAAAACATTCGTCAGAGATCTATTATTAGGGGAAACTGACATCAGGATTCCACTATTAATGATAAATCACTGTTTGCACCGCCATTGCGCGTTTGCGCACGCTATTGCGTGCGGATATGTCTCAGTCCGTCTCTTTTGAAACGATCTTGTTTCTTGACTGATTCTTGTTTTTTTGAAGTGTGAATGAGCAAGTTATTTCGTTTCTTCTCCACACGATGGTGGCAGTCAACCGAGAAACATCAGGGCAGCTGAAGCGCGGAGCCGTGCGTTTTTACGCATCTTTCTTCATGATGTGTAATGACTGCGGAAGCGCTCTGAACCTTTAAGAATTAACTCATTATGTATTCAAAGAAAATTTCACGCTGTTTTTTAAAGAACACCCCACATTATTATTATTATTATTGTTGTTGTTGTTGATACTACAGCAGTATAATTATTTTCTTGCTATTCTGGCTATTTAATAAGTTTATTACATGTTTTAAAACAATTTTATTTATTTTGATAGTTTATATATTTCCATAAGTCAATTCTAGTTATCTAATTATGTATTATAAAATCTAATTTTTTTTATGCAAGCTGGAGGTGATTTGTCTGATTTGTTATTCAGACATGTTGCTTTTTTTGCATAGAGAATACATTTAATTTAAGCTCTTTTGAAGTAAATCTACTTTAATGCTAGATTAATAATGGGATAATGAACTAATAAAAAATGATGTTAGACGGTCTATGGCTGCCTCTGCTCAAGGTTACTGCACCTGCAAAATATCAGGACATTGAATATTTATAAGCTAATTTAAATGTTGTTCTACACAATTTTAGCTATGCTTTTTATTAACACAAAGCTGTGGTTTGAGCTCATTTCCAAAAGTTGTGCATGTAAATTTGTTCTACATTAATTTTTCATTGTTTCATAGGTCTGGTTTTGTGGAAAATCATATTTTAAAGTGTGTCCTTTAAATACTTCTCATTTATGCATCAGCTCACACCTCTGTCGAGAACCATATGGCACCGCATTTGACCCAGGCTTCCATCTGACATTTAAGTTTGATAGAAAATTACTGCTGGTCGACCTGAGAATATGATCAAATTATTAATCATCTTCAACCCAAATTAAGTTTGGTTGGAGAGTTCATGCGAGCTGAGGGAGTGAGAATATTTCCTGTTAATTAATGTAGTCATTGCTCTGATGTCTAGACGTGAACTTTATGTAGAACAGAAGAAGTTTCTTTCTTAGTAGAATATCCCAATATTAAGACAATTATTATTTATAACAGCCCATAATATGGATCACATTCTTTGACCTAATCATTATCTTTACTAATACAGAATATATTCACACATCTGGTCTTTTGATCACAGGTATCAATATGTTTATACACTGCTACTCCTAATGTATGATCATCTGTATTGAAAGACACAGTTTACTCACCCTTACATTGTTCAAAACCTGTGTGGCTTTGTTTCTTTCTTTGGTGGATCACTAAAGAAGATGTTTTGGACTGACGGCCTCAGTCACTTTTGCATCTATAAACTTTATCGAATGGACAGAATGCAGCATTCAACACAAGCTAAGCGCTGTTACCACAGCCATATATTCAACATGTTACTCAGTTTGTTAAACCAAGCAAAACCTGCTTGCGCATTAATGCACTTACAATGAAAGTCTGTGTGGCAAGATGTTCTGGAGAGTTTAAAGGCAAAAATGTGAAGCTCATATTTTTGTTCATACGTGTTTTTATGATTGTTTTAATGTATTTGTGTAGTATTGGAGTTGTAAATCATCCTTTTAGCAGTTAGATTTACTTTTCTAGGTGGATGAACAATTTGTGATGTCACATTCTGTTGGGTTAGTAGTGATTTTATCAGAGTAGTTTTGTTACTTACTGTACACTGCCATTCAAAAGGTTGTGGTCGGAAAGATAAAAAAAATAAAAATGTTTTATGCTTAATGTTGAATTTTTTAAAAGTCTCTTATGCCCATCAAGGCTGCATTCATTTGACCAAAATACAATAAAACGGCAACATTGTGAAATATTATTACAATTTTAAATAGGTTTTTGTTCTATTTGAGTATATTTGAAAATGTAACTTATTTCTGTGGTTGCAAAGTTGAATTTTCAGCATCCATTACTCAAGTCTTCAGCGTCACATTTATTATCAATGTTATGTGCTGCTTAATATTTCTGTGAAAACCATGATACATGTTTTTTTTTCAGGACGCTTTAATTAAAGGGGTCATAGGATGCCCATTTTCCACAAGTTGATATGATTCTTTAGGGTCTTAATGTAAAGTCTGTAACATAGTTTGGTTAAAATTTCTCAATGGTAGTGTAAAAAAAACCTATTTTACCCTGTCAAAAACAGCTCTTTTCAGAGCAAGCAGTTTTGTAGCATTTTCCTTTAAATGTTAATGAGCTCTGCTGACCCCGCCCCTCTCTTCCGAGCCGCTCTCTGAGGGACT